ATAAATGACTCATTTTGGAGTTTTAAATTAGCATGCACAATGACTAATGCACAATGAATAAGGCTCCAAGGACGCAATGACCTCCAAGTCAGCAGTGTGGGGGGAAGGGTGCTGGAAAAATGACATCAGTGACATCAGTGCAGCACCATCTTTCACTCTTTTATTATCACACACTGCAAAGAGTGTATCACCAATGTTGCACCATTTGATTTGTAATTGCTGAAAGACATGTACAGAAAGAGCAAGCTAGAGCGACGCAGGCAGGAAGAGACAAAGAGAAAGAAAAAGAGCAAAACAGAGCGAAACCGATTCACAGAGATGTACTGAAAAATTCATCTTAGCCTGAATGCATTATTCTCTCGAGTAATGTGGTGAGTTTAATGTATTTCATAAGCTAAAAATCATAAATGACTCATTTTGGAGTTTTAAATTAGCATGCACAATGACTAATGCACAATGAATAAGGCTCCAAGGACGCAATGACCTCCAAGTCAGCAGTGTGGGGGGAAGGGTGCTGGAAAAATGGGAAATGGCAGAATATAAGAATAGAAGGAGGTGCTAGTTTGGTTGCAGTGGTGGTGTCCCTGTCCAGGGTACTGAAAGCACTCTGCCAGCCACTATGATTTGTCGTGATTGGCTGAAAGCTACATTTTAATACTGTAACATCACAGCAGCACTGCTGATTTCTCTTGCTGAGTGACATCAGTGCAGCACCATCTTTCACTCTTTTATTATCACACACTGCAAAGAGTGTATCACCAATGTTGCACCATTTGATTTGTAATTGCTGAAAGACATGTACAGAAAGAGCAAGCTAGAGCGACGCAGGCAGGAAGAGACAAAGAGAAAGAAAAAGAGCAAAACAGAGCGAAACCGATTCACAGAGATGTACTGAAAAATTCATCTTAGCCTGAATGCATTATTCTCTCGAGTAATGTGGTGAGTTTAATGTATTTCATAAGCTAACGTAAATTTTACTCTGATTAAGCTGTAAGAGAAACTCTTTAAATCACCACTTTGGTTAAAATGACACCCTGGTGGCCTCAATAACATCTTTTTTCTTGTGAAACTCAGATTAATGATTTACTTCTTTAGTCCCTCCCATCTAGCAGAGAATCAGTCATATATCTCCTTATGGTTATTAGACAAAATGAATCTTTTTCATTATACTGTTGATGTTTGAAACTCAAGTGCGCGTTTGAGCTCGACACCCTGCCCAGATTGTCTGGCCCCACATGGCCATTCTACCTTCAGTCTCCACACATAGTATCGACATAGAATGAACCAGATGCCTATGTGTATTTTTCATTCCTTGATTTCTTGACTCATCTATAAATATACATAGTACCGCGAATATGCATCCAATTAGAATAAGATTATGCTAAACAAAGCAGAAAAGCTAAATATCTAGTCAGCAGCCAATGCAAACAACATGTTTTCATTTAATTCAGATAATTAAGCATAACATTTTTAACATTGCTAACATTTGCAGAAATTTCACCTATAAAATGCTGATGTAATTGTCCAACAGCACTGGGATGTTTCATGGTTTGTAGTACTCTGCCGTTTGCATGTTCTTGTCAGTCTTGGGATTTTTTAGTGAAACTTTCTGCAGGTTACATCAATAAACCAGTATTAGGTGACAAGTGATGGTCTTTATGATTGAATCGTTGGAATCATTCAGGAAGGAAACAAGTGGCTGTCTTTATGAGTCTTTGAATCATTCACTCAACTGAATTGTTCACATATATTGATTCAGGAACAAAACACTGCTACTGTGTTACTAGACAATGCACAACAGTTTGCTGGACTTTCTTTGAAACCATTGTCATTGGTGGAGTAAAAACATAAAGAAACTGGCAGTAAGTTATTCAATATGAACCCCTTATTTTAACTTTATTCAAAATGGTGCTTGTTTATCCAGTAATTTTCCAAAACAGCTTGTTCACATTCATAAGTATTAGGACATTTTCTGTTTGACTAAAGTTGTTTTAAGGCGTTATGACATTAGAGAAATTTTGTGGGCAAAAAGATCAGTTGTTTATTGTCAAAAGTGTAGCAATGTAAGCACAGCTTGCACAAGTCACTTTCAAATGGCTTTCCGTTAGTGAACATGCCAAATTAAACTCAATGTAAAATCTGTATGGGAAATATTTCATCCTCACATGAAATTCCTGATTGCATGGATTCCTGTTGAAATTACTGGATTTCGTCCGCAAAAATTTGCTGAACAGAGGTAATGAGTAGAATAGTGTTAATTTCGTTAACAAAATGTATGACGAAAATTGTTCTTTGACGAGATATTTTTCCATGACTAAGGCAAGACGATGACGAGCCGACGATAAGGTCAATAAACGATAACTGTGACTATATCAACATGCAATATCATTGATGATGACTCTAATATATATATTCTTTTTTTTTTTTTATCAGTTTAACTATTATACAGCATGACGAAAATGTGACAAAGTTTTCATTGAATAAAACTAGACTAAAATGCTCAGACATTTAGTCGACTAAAACTTGACTAAACAAAAACAGAACAAGGTTGACTAAATATGATAACTAAAAAGTACATTTGACACCAGGACTAAGACTAATACTAATTTAAAAGACTAAGAGTAAAACTAAGACTAAATTAAAAATGGCTGACAAAATTAACACTAGAGTAGAACATGTCCAGTTAATGTAATGATCTACACCTATGGTTACTGCTAGGACACCTCGGTGAACTTGAGGGAAAATTATTTCATGCATCCACTAAAATCACCTTAGCAGCAGTTGGTAAGACATAATTGCAAAATTAGTTAAGTAAAGTGAAGTTAGTTCTGAAAAAAGCTCTAGCATCATTTGTTTGCAGATGCTAGTTGGTTTGATATTTCTTATCTAATGCAATGACACTAGGACATTTTAGTGTCAGTACTGTTTCATGTCTACTGTTGCTTCTGGTGTCCCTTAATGAGGCAGACCATTCCAAACACATGGCCTGATATAAGGAAGCCTTTAGTAAGCCCGAAATATCTTGATATAAACATCTGTGCAGTTTCCCTTGTCACTCAACATAAAATTGAGGCAATGACATTTTTAAACAGCCAGGGAGGATTTGGAAACCTCAGAAGTGAGGTGAAACAAGAAGTCTCTACATGCACCAATTCAGCAGCACAATCCACCCAGCAGGTTTAGAGTGACATTCTTCTGTTCCTATTCAGTGGAAATGTCCATGTAGCAAAATGCAATTTAATTTCTTCATTTTCTTGCTTTTTTTAAATATCAAAATATTAAAAAATTACAATTAAGTACACTTGATTAAAAAAAAATCAAGACAAGCCACGTTATGATACTGAAATGAGTGTACATTACAAAATGGCAGGTGAACTAATGAGTCAGCACATTAAAGAGATTGCTGAGAAATTGACTGAATGCTGAACGGTGCAAGCAAAATAATACTGAGGGGTTTAAAACTATAAACTGAATAAATATTCAGCACGGGAAGATCACATGGATGGAAACCAACGAAAAAAACTTCCAACCATGTGATTTTGTCCTGAGCTACACAGTTTAATTGCTTATCTCTGATTTAATTGACGTGTTCTGATTACCCATGCTCCTCTGAGACAGATGTGGGTGTGTCACAGTGCTTAGGAGCTTGGGACACCTGCCACAAACGGAGACCTTTTGTGATGCTGATCAGGACTATTTGAAAGCCATTGATTTAACACAATGCACCATATTTCAAAGAGAAAGTGCTCAAATTTCAGCATGAGCACATTTTAAAAGCTTTGTTTGTTGTATTTTTACTTTAAATATCACATGCACTTTAATACACAACTCCGGTTGAATTTTACATTGTTTGCCTGTTTTGTGTCCAATTTCTACCAACTCCTTTTACTACCAGTGATCTGGGTAAATAACATGCATATTTTGTCATTCCATAAAATTCTTTTACATGACACACAGTAAGACTGAGTTTTACACTATAATAGAATATCAAAGGGGTGGAACGTCTGTATCAAATTCTCCACTTAATGTTCCTGGTGACATCCTCACCTTTGACCTGAATGAGGAATGTATAATTCAGCAGGGGTGAATCTGAGAGGCAATGAAAACGGACTGGGGCTGCCAAAATACTTCAGTTTAGCTCTGAGTGCACTTCCTATCATGCTTTCAACACGGAGTACACTTACGGTAAACTTACAAGTTAGTAGACAAAAGGTACTAGACTAGAGTTTATAGTTAGAATACCTTGGCATTCAAAGTACATATTTCTCCCTATATTGTACATGCTAGACAGAGACAGACAGATAGACAGACGAGAGATAGATAGATAGATAGATAGATAGATAGATGAAATGCATTCAAACCAAATAAATTACTTTCCAAACTAATTACTTGGAAGAGTGAGAAAAATGGTTTGCTTTTCTTTCCAGGCCATACAGTGGACGGAAGCCATGTTCTCTGCTCATTCTGGCGTCTCTCTGCTTTGTGACAGACACACTGTGAAATGAGGGCTCATTAGTCACAGAACAATTGCACATATCCATTCCCAGACAGACGAGAGATAGAGAGATAGATAGATAGATAGATAGATAGATAGATGAAATGCATTCAAACCAAATAAATTACTTTCCAAACTAATTACTTGGAAGAGTGAGAAAAATGGTTTGCTTTTCTTTCCAGGCCATACAGTGGACGGAAGCCATGTTCTCTGCTCATTCTGGCGTCTCTCTGCTTTGTGACAGACACACTGTGAAATGAGGGCTCATTAGTCACAGAACAATTGCACATATCCATTCCACAATGCTGACACCAAAACAGCACCGTATGCCTTTATAACCGATTCAGTGGTATATGATGACCTTTGAGGAGCCATTGCATGAACATAATGGGCAAAGTGGGCAAATAAATTATTAATAAGTGTATGGGTGAACGGACCCATGGTGTAGGTATATTTGGTATGAACAAGGCAAGGAAAGGTGTAATCTGAACCTGAACCCACTTACATTCGAGATGTTTTTTTTTAGGTGCCATCACTTCATGCGTGGTCGCTTTACACACCGCACGAGCCACCTCGGATCCCGTGAGGCTGTACTGCGCCGCGGCGATGCGGTCCGTCAAAGTCTGACCCGACATCTCCCGTCCCTCGCGGATTCAAACGCCCTTATTCCCGTATAAAGAGACGCGTCGAGATGTTCCAAAGCGTCCACAAGAACGAGGCCCTTTAAAATGGATTCTCGACCACAATTTGCGATATTAATACGATGTGATTGTTATCAAGACCAAGCTGAGATAAAGTCTTTACCATGGATGATGAGCAACGGACATATTTAAGGCAATACTAAATCATACAGAGCGAGACTCTGTGTTTACTATAATATACATTTCAGGTCAACGCCTGCGCCGTGTATTCGCCTCGTGGGGATGCGGGAGCATATGAGATGCGTAATGACTATTTCAACCGCAAATAGTTATTTATAAAGAGTAAACGATGAGCTTTAAGGTTATAAAAGACAATTTTTATAAAGTCTTAAAAGATATTCCTCGTTATTTCCGCGTTGTATTGGAAGAGGCTGTTACGATGATGCTCGGCTCGACCAGTCGTCCTTCTCTCCTCCTCCAGATCAAGGACTAATCTTCCTGAAAAAACCCCGCTCGATGTGCAGTCACCCAAACCTTCAAACGGCTTGCGTTGTTCTCCTCATCTCTAAAAACCGCTCGCCTTCCTTTTCCTTCACCCCGTGGCTATGTCCAGGTTTGAACAATTGCTGAACTAGGAGGATGAAACGCAGCGATAACGGGAAGCCGCGGTCCCCGCTGGACTCGATATTTATTTATTTGTGCTATCACTCCGCCCCCTCGCATGAGTCAAGTCACACGTCATTAAAAACCCAGATTGCGTGCGTTTTACTATCTGCGCCCAATGTATGTGTGCTTTTTATTGCTATGGTAACTAGTGGTGGGGATTTTGATTCATTTTAGAGCCTCGAATCTTTTCAGTCAATTCACCTAAAAGATCCATTCACGGATTAGTTCAGTGGCTACTATCCGTGATTGAAAGAATGTTCAAGAATCATGCATTTGCTTATCACGTTTGTCATCTGCTTGGTGTGACTTTTTTTTATTAGGCTACATAAAACAACAACAAAATGTCATGAATACATAAAATAAATAAACTATTTTATTTAAATAAAGTACTTACGTCATTTTAGTGGTGTATTGTTGTACGGTCTCATTTTACACAATCTTAACCCCCTTCCCTTGTTTTTGTTTGTTCAGTTCACACACAAACACTTCAGTTCATTCCGTTCGTTCACAAACGAAAAGTCCCATTCAGACTCGAACACAATCCGTGTATCATTCGATCCAGGGGCGTAGATTACGCGGGGGATTATTATTGGTTATTGTGCAGCAGTTAGCCTATCTGATTTCTAAACCAATTAAAAGCTAGAAATGAGAGAACAATTAAAGCTGACTATACACTACCAGTCAAAAGTTTTTGAACAGTAAGATTTTTAATGTTTTTTAAAGAAGTCTCTTCTGTTCACCAAGCCTGCATTTATTTGATCCAAAGTACAGCAAAACTGTACGAAATATTTTTACTAGGCTATTTCAAATAACTGTTTTCTATTTTAATATATTTAAAAATGTAATTTATAGTGATTTCAAAGCTAAATTTTTTGCATCATTACTTCAGTCACAATATCCTTCAGAAAGCATTCTGATTTGCTGCTCAAAAAACATTAATAATTATAATAATAATTTAAAAATGTTTCTTGAGCAGCAAATCAGCATATTCGACTATAAATGACAGAGTATTAAGTTATTTCCCCTCGATGGGGAAAAATCCAAGTGAACATCAATCAGTACTCAATATTAATTTCAACTGCTTTAAATATGACTGCTGCTCATTTCCCGTGCACTTCAATACTGGTCTGCGCTTGACTGTAGTCGCGGCTGTCTGCTTATTGAGTTTATTTAACCCATCGCAATTTATTGGAACTGTGTGAACTAGAGTGACTACTCCTATATATACCCAAGCCAATTTATTATTCTTTCCTTATGTCTTAGTGTTTAAAATATTTAATTTTAAACAAATTAATTAATTAAACAAACATACCTTTTTAATTTTTGGAAAAAACGTTTTCTCATTTTTCTACTTTCAATATTAAATAAAAAAACGAATGATCGAATGATACACGGATTCAACACCGACTCGAATAGCCGAATTCGTTTGAGTCTAATCACTGAAACACCAATTTATGAACGAATTCTTCAAGTCAAAGAATCCTTCAAGTCAAAGAATCGTTCTAGGTGAATGGTTCACAAACTAACCTGGCACATTACAATCAGCGTGGTTTGCTCAACGTAAGTATAATGCAAAACTAAAGGCTTATTTCGTTAGGTTTGTTCAGTTAAATCACAGTTTAAAGAAGGGAAAAACAGATGTAGCGCATGTGACACATTTCTGATTTATTTCCTCTCTCCCACTTACTCTGATATGCAACAATATATATATATTTTTTCATTATGGGTTTGATCATTTTCAAAGCAACATCACTTATAACTGTCCATGTATTTTTTTTTTCTTACACAAAAGGTTTTTGCTGACACCACTGAAAACTAATCCAAAAGGAAAGTGCAAGTTTGATTAGTTATGGACATGAGGTCTGCTACAAGCCTTGTTTTCTGTGGATGAGGGAGTTCAAAAATGTATTAAATTCACATGATATGTGTCTTTATTAGGCAAGTCACCACAATATGGAATGGCACAGTATCATACTATCCTATGGGCTCAAACAAATGAAAGAAATAATCACAATGGGCTATATTTACAAGTAAAAGACTTAAAATTAAATAGTATAGTTGTTGGGGAAAATACATTAATTAGAAAAGCAAAAAATGTACAAACTTTTTTTTTGTTCTCTTCCATTTTTAAAAGGTGAGGTGTTAGTGTTTTTGCCATAGCTCAATAGTTTTCACTTTTTGTTCATGCCAGGTCACGTTTTGATGAGTCCCTCAAGGAAGTCCTTCTCAACCATTTCCTCAATGTTCTGTCTGGCCCGGCTCCAGAAGACTTTCTGGCTCTCCAGCTTGCCATCCTTGCCAGGGAATGGGCCGTCTCTTGGAGTAGGGCTGTGATATGGTCCTGAGCGGCTGTTGCCTTTACTGCTGAAGACATGACTAAGAAGGTTGAAGAAAGGGAGGAGCTGCTCCATGCTGCGGATCACGTAAAGGGTGAGCAGGAGCTGTCCAGGCTCCCAGGATAGAGTGCGTGTGGAGCAGTCTTCCTCTGGATTTTTCTAGAGTTAATGGAGGTATTCCCACGAGAGTAGTGAACATCCTAGGCTTAAGAGCATTAGCAAATCTACTGAATAATCTATAAATGTTATAGGCCCTATATGCCAATGATGTGGAATGAATCTCTATTAAAATAATAAGGCAACAATAGGACAAAATTGAATAGATTTCCATAGTTTAAGGCCCTGTCCACACGAACGTGGTTATTTTTAAAACCGCAGCTTTTTCTACGCAGCACCAGGTTACTGAAACCGAACATTTTTGAAAACGCCTGCCAGGGTGAAGATTTTCAAAAACTCCGGTTGCAGTGTTATCTGTGTAGTGCAGTGTAATCTCCACCTACTGGGAACTTTTTGAGGCTTCTGATTGGCCAACATGGCTTTACGCAGGGCTGTACAGAGCTGATGATACACGGGGCAACTTTTTAAGCAATGTTGCCAGGCAACTTTGGGCAATATTGCCGCCAACGGGCAACCAGATGAGACACATGGCCCACGACCGATCTAAAGTATCCAGATAGACATTTGTTATCCATTCTCAATGTGAAAGTGCCCAAGCAACATTGTTTAAAAAAAGTTGGCCGGCAAAATTTTCTCATGTATTATCAGCCTAAGTGTATATCGTGGTGACTGTTACATGGTTGTATTACCTTGGCTCTTTTTCTCAGCAGTTTGGCCAGTCTGACAACATAGGGCTTGAACTCTCTCTGATGGGTCCCCTGTCTGCGGACCTCCAGACCAGAGTCATCCGAGGCTTCAGGGACGAAAGCCCAGCGATACCTGTGGTATAGAGTAATATTATTTCCTTCACATCAAATATGCTCAATATTTGTGATGAATTTTATCCATGAAGAAGTACCGAGAGTGCTGGAACAGTCTAAACTGAGGTTTTTGAAAAACACAGTCTTGAGAATATACCTGAACAGACTGAACAGCACTCTTACAAAAGAAACAGCTATTGCATTACTTTTAAATGAATTTCAGAGTCTCAGGGTGGTTTTGTTAATGACCTTTTAACAAGAAACATTGCTGCCTTGTACTAAAATACATTTCAAGCATTCAGTGTGTAAGGGCACCCACATCTGGAACTGAGGCAGACTCTCAGAGGGCAGAGCGAGGGCCAGGTCCAGCAGCTTGCAGGCAGACAGGTAGAGGTTAAGCCAGCGCTGGCTGTTGTAGGAGGTAGAGAAGCCGTTGCCCCCTGAGTATGTTGTCTCAAGCCCTGCAACCGAGGGACCCGAGGTCCTGAAGAGAAGCCAGAAACCACATTCATCAGTATTCCACACACAGAATCACCCATAATGTCTTACATGGAACATGATTCTACTTCTAAAATAAAAACGAAAAGATAAAACGGATTTGAATAATGGATACCTGGTGATGTCCTCATCTGCAGTGAGTTCCTGTTCCATAAGTAAGAAAACCTGAACCTGAAGGAAGAAACAAACAAACAAGCCTATTGAACTTTGCCAAAAGAATGAGACAAAAAAGTCCACCAAATAACTATTCCTCTTTAGATTGTCCTTGGGAACTTCTGTTATTTCAGCATCAGAGCTTACAGCTTACTTGTGAGATGTTGCTTGTGATTATATGTAATGTGTAAATGACAAGGTGTGTCATATCCTCACCAGCTCAGTGATCATAGTGGGCCAGAGTGAGGTCAGGTGCTGGGGGGACATGCGCAGTAGCAGCACTCTGAAGAAGAGGAAGACCTGAGCATGGAGGATGGGCACTTGAGGGAGTCGTAGGCTCTCCACAAGACGCTCTGAAATGACACCAACATATTATTTAGAACTTATTTTTATGCTGTGTCAGGGTACAAGTAGGCCTGTCGCAATAATCAATATCGACTTATCGCGCAACATATGTACATGACCTCAATCATTTTTGGTGACGCAATATATGGCCAATATATTTACTTATATTAATGTCACCATGTTTTTTACATTCCACTTGCGCCTGTGTCTTTTGCAGCTTCTCGTACATAACGTGGTGTAGTCATGAGGTGCTAGTTCAAATTTAAAAAATGCTTCTACAAACAAAGTTTCATCTGCAGATACGGTCTTGTTTAGGGATCTGTGCCTTTGTGCATACGGACATCTGACTGCTAAGTAGTGATTGTGTTTTTCAGCAATAGTGTGCACCCTTCATTTACAGAGAAAAGAAGGTCAATGAAAAATCTGTAGATGGAAAAATCTACATACAAGTTCTTTGTGCATTTTTCTTTTGCACTTTTTGTTAGAAAATGTTTATTTACTATTTATTCAGTTTTTTTAAGGTATCTAATATTTTGATACTTAATTTCCATGATCTAAATATTCTTAAAAATTAAAAGTTTGTTGTCATTTGGAAGTGTGAAGGCCTTCTTGCATTATTATACTGTTACATTTGTTTAACAATGACAGCTGTCTAGTGTAAAAACCTTGTCCCTATATCTTTTTGATACATTTTGGACACAGAAGGACCACCATTCAAGTTGGACTTAAATATGCCATTGAGGGATATATAAAAGATTTTAAAATAAATATTGTGGGTATTCATTTGGAAGCGAGGGTTTACAAATCACAATGCAAGCGGGAGAAGTCTCGTGTTACAGTCGTCA